AACCTCTGCCTCCTGAGTTCAAGGAATTATGCTGCCTCAGCCTCCTGAGTAGCTGGGACTACACGCACGTACCAGCACACCCAGCTAATTTTTATATTTTCAGGAGAGATGGGGTTTCACCATGTTGACCAGGACCAAGATGGTCTCAAATTCCTGGCCTCAAGTAATCTGCCCGCCTCAGCCTCCCAGAGTGTTAGCACTGATTACAGGTATAAGACACTGTGCCAGCCCTCCAGTGACAGGTGTTTTGAAGGGCTCCTCCTGGATTTCACTGAGAATCAATACAAGAAAATGGTCATATCAAGAAAGTACCTGCATTTTCTGTAAGGCCTTTGTTAAAAACACTGGATCTTGTTTTATCTCATTTTCCGCATATGACGATCCAATCCAACCTCCTCTGAAAATTCAGCACCAGAATCCTGGAAGCTCGCTACACTCATTCTGTCTGGAAAGCAGAAAGCTCCGCCCCAAGTGAATGCTCACTCACTGCCACTTTCAAGTGAGAAGTTGAGAATGACAAATGTGATTTGTCATTATTATATAGATCTTGCTAGCACTGTATTTATGGCTGGATGGTCTTGTGAGACCCTGGGGACACAGCTGCTAAAGGACCAACCCTTGTGGCAGCAGGACCCAGGATGTGGAGTCAAGATTTTGCCTACAGAAGCCAATCCAAGGGCTATCCTCCAGGCTTCTCATTCAGGGCATGCACTACCTGAGACATAAGGGCCACAAAAAGCCACAAAGCAAACATGAGTGTGTTCCTCAATAAGCAGGACTTTCTGTCTGTGGCACACTGTAGTTTCTCTCAGGTGGAGAGTTCGTTTTATTTATTCTGTTCAGAACTTGCTCCATTTCCAAATCTGAGATTTTTTTCACCTTCTGGTAAGCCTGTTAACTCCCTCTTGACAACTGCCCTGCAGCATATCCTTTTGGGGGGACTCCTCCCTCTTGCCTCATCTTCAGCTGCACCTTCTCACCTCTGTGGCACTTTGGCCAATTCTGTAGACGGAATGTTCTTTTCAGCTGGCTCTGATCTGCTCCCTGAAATGCTTGCTGACTTTTAAACTGAAATCATTATTTTTCTTTTCTGAAAGTATTTTTCCTTGGTTCATTTCCAAATCTGTCTGGTCTTTTTTGATGGTTTATTATTCTTTTTTTAGTGAGATATAATACATATAACATAAACCTCACCACTTTATAGAATTTATTAGCCTTTAGTATATTCATAAGGTTATGAAACCATCACCACTGTCTAATGCCAGAACATTTTCATAATTCCAAAAAGAAACTGTATCCATTGGTAATCACTCCTTATCCTCCCTCCCTCAGCCCCTGTCAATCACTATTATTCCACTTTCTTTCTCTATGGATTTTCCATTCTGGATATTTCCTGTCAATGGAATCATACAACCTATGATCCTTTGTGATTGGCTTCTTTCTCTTAGCATAATGCCTTTAAGGTTTATCGTTATTGTAGCACGTGTAAATATTCCATTCCTCTTATTGCTGAATAATATTCTATTGTATGGATAGACCATATTTTGTTTATCTATTCATCAGCTGATGGACCTTTGGGCTGTTTCCACTTTTTGGTTACTATGTACAGATGTGAACATTTATGTATGAGTTATTGGATGGATATACATTTTCAATTATCTTGGGTATGTATCTAGGTGTAAGAACTGCTGGGTGAGATGATAACTCTATATTTCACCATTTGAGGAATTTCCAGACTGTTTCCCAAAGGTGCTGAAAGACTTTACATTACCATCAGCAGTCTATGAGTGCTTAAATTTCTCCCTATCCTCACCAACAGTTCTTATTATCTGACTATCTTATCTTTTAATCACAGATCTCCAAATGGGTATGAAGTATTAGTTTTGCTTTGTATTTCCCTGATGGCTAGTGATGTTGATTGTCTTTTTATGTGCTTATGATTTGTATATATTCTCTGCAGAAATTTCTATTCAGATCTTTTGCTCATTTTAAAACTGTGTTATTAGTCTTTTTATTGTTGAACTGTACAAGTTCTTTATATAATTTGAATTCTGGACCTGAGATAAAGTTTTTCTCTTTTGCCCAGGCTGGAGTGAAGTGGCGTGATCTCTGCTCACTGCAACCTCTGCCCGCTGAGTTCAAGCAATTCTCCTGCTTCAGCCTACCAAGTAAATGGGATTACAGGCGCTCGCTACGACACCTGGCTAATTTTTGTATTTTTAGTAGAGATGGGGTTTTACCACGTTGGCCAGGCTGGTCTCCAACTCCTGACCTCAGATGATCCGCCCACCTTGGCCTCCTAAAGTTTTAGGATTACAGGCATGAGCCACCGTGCCTGGCCAAGCTTTTAATTTTTAAAATGTTTTGTAGAGATAAAGTCTTGCCATGTTGCTCAGGCTGGTCTTGAATTCCTGGCCTTTCTGTCTCAGCCTCCCGAAGTGCTAGAATTATAAGCATGAGTCATTGTGTCCAGTTAAAAGTTTTAAACTTTGATGAAGTCCAATTTATTGATTCTTTCCTTTAGTTGCTTATGCATTAGGTGTCATATCTAAGAAACTGTTCCCTAATCCAAGGTCACATAGATTTCTATGTATATTTTCTTCTAAGAGTTTTATAGTTATGCTCTGACATTTAGTCCTTTGATCCTTTTAATTTTTATTTATAGAATAGAATATTTAATCTTTCCTCACATTTTGTTTTAGCTTTCATGTCTTTCAAGACTTAAGCATATTTTATAGCACCCTCTGACAATTCTGTGATAACAGGTTTATAGGAACCTAAGTCTCTCAGTGAGTACATCTCCTGACATTTGTGTACGGTAGACTGTTTCTTCTTGTGATTTTAGATTTTATGTTCATCTAAGCAGTGCTTTATCCGTGGTAATGCTGTACACCCTGGGCCAGGGAATGCCCCTGCTGGGTGGATACGCATCTCTGCCAGGTGCCTCTGGATGTCAAGTAGACCAGGGTCTCCTTTGTTTCATTTCTTAGCTTGGTGATTTCTAGACAACACAGGTAGTGTTAAACTGGCCCTGAATCCACATGAGGGCAGGCCTGTGGTTACACAGCCTCAAGGGAAGACTGTTCTCCCAACCCCAAAACAGGCTAAGACATTCCAATTTCTCTGCTAGTTCTTGAGCTGCCAGCTGGGTTTTCCTAGTGTCTGCCTCAGTCCTTTTTTAAGCAGCTTGACTTTATGCTGGTGACTTAATTCCAACCCCTTAGACCCGAAGCTTTGTCTCAACTCAGTGTAAGACATTAGACCCCAAGCTTTGTCTCAACTCAGTATGAGACATTAATGCAAGGTCCTCAGTCAAGACCCCCAGCTTTGCACCCATGGGGCAGCCCTGGCTGCTACTCTGGCTTTTTTGTTCATTCTTAGATTTTAGATTCTAGGGACTGCCCTTTCTTGTGAACTAGTCATTCATTTTAGGGACAAGAATTGCATTTAATCCAGTACTTCAAAGTATTTTAGAAGCAGGGAGGCTGAGGTGGGTGGATCACCTGAGGTCATGAGTTCAAGACCAGCCTGGGCAACTTGGTGAAACCCCGTCTCTATTAAAAATACAAAAAATTAGCCAGGTATGGTGGTGGGCACCTGTAATCTCAGCTACTTGGGAGGCTGAGGCAGGAGACTCGATAGAACCTGGGAGGCAAAGGTTGCAGTGAGTAGAGTAGCTAGAACTATAGGCATGTCCCACGACACCTGGATAATTTTTCTGGTAGAGATAGGGGTCTCACTATGTTGCAAAGGCTGGTCTCAAACTCCTTGCCTCAAGCAATTCTCCTGCCCTGGTCTCCCAAAGCATTGGGATTACAGGCATGAGCTACCACACATGGCCTGCACTGAACTTTTAATTACTAAACAAGCATGATTAGATCACAACAGAGTAGACTACAAGATTTCACACCAAGTTTATAGATACAGCATCAAACTTTCAGAAAGAGTCCTCCCATGGTAGCTTCCAGGAACTGTTTTCCAAGGAGAATAAATCCTGTCCAGACATGCAGCTTTGAACAGGGCTTTTCATAAGCAAAGCCCCAGAGACAGCATGCTATAGCTTTAGCTCCAAATCACCATCTACTGCAAAAACAGATCAAATACAAATGCTCCTTTTATTGGGCACCTGCTGGCTGTGTGGCTACTGCAAGTTTCTGACCAGTGACCTTGTACCTGGCTGATGGTAGCACAGGCTAGGGTATGTATGCCTAGGGCTGCCGAGCCCTATGAACCTTGCACTGGGACGCAACTCTTAAGGGACTGCTCTTAAGCCCCAAAAGGCCAGCCTACATCTACCTCTCTTCTCCTAGGCTCTGACTCACTGGGATGTGAACTGGGCTCCTTGTTGTGACAGGCTTGGAGGAAGAGGCCCTCTCAGGAGGCAGAGAACTTCAGTGCCAATGGCAGAGGCTGTGAAGATTCACTCTGGCCACCTCAGGAGGATGCACTACCGCAAACTCTAAGAAATAAAGAACCACAGTGTGCATGATGTCACAGCTGTGTTTGAGGGGAGGCCCAGGGAATGAACAAGCAGCATAGTGTCCACGAGAGCTCAGAAGCCAATATGACTTGACAAAGACCTCATCTACATCATTTTTTATTGCAGCTCTCTACCTCTGGTCAGTTTCTCAGTGGAAGGCCATCACATCCAAGGTGTACCAATATCAGAGCCTTCCACCTCTCCAACTAATCTCTTGCCCTCTTCCAGGCAAACTCTGGGCTCCATCCAAATACCATTATTCTCAGTCCAGCCTCTGCACTGACCAATTCTTGTGTCTTCCCCCACAGCTTCCAGCCACCTTCCCACTTGAAGCAGCCACTCCTTTCTCCTCGGAGCTGGCAGCTCACTAAGGGCTCTGCAGTCTTGCTCCCATGCATTGAGAGGCTAGAGTCTTTTCCCCAACAGGAAGGCAGGCTGCTTGGTAGGAACATTGCCAGTGTGCTGTTGACTCATGCCTGCACCCTCCCTGGCCCTTCAGGGTGCTGCAGCTACCACCTACCTTTCCATGGCTGTTGGGGTCACACTGGTCAGGGCAGGAGCACCTGGCGTGGCTTTGGACCGCTCTGTGAACCGGGAATCAAGCGCTTTCATGGGTTCAATCTTGGACGGGGTCGTTAACACAGAAGGTGACAATGCAGCAGGAGTAGAGGTAGCATTCATACTGGGGTGAAGAAGAGGGGAGGCATGTCAAGCACAATCCTAAAAGGATCAGGAGGTCTAGTATTTGCATTATTTGGAGACTACTAAAAAAGGCACAAACATCAAACTTTCATAAACACAAAAAAATTTCAAGATATAATCTACTATTCCCATTTCTTTAAAATGTTCATGTGTTAAAATTCTGGACACCTAGAAAGTTTTGAGCAAATGCATTCGCATCTCCCCCTTTGCATTGTTTTGACAGCTTTTGGGGGTAGCACGAGGCCTAGAACATGGTTCTTACAACACTTTTCTCTAGTCATATTACCCTATCTCCACAATTTGAATATAGCACCTCTACTCCAAACCACTCCAACCACTCACATTTCCCACTTAGAAAATGAGTCTCATGAGATAAGCCTGCACCTGGGGTCCTGAAACCATGGTCTGCTCCTGGCCTTTACTCTCAGCCAGGTATCCTCCATCCTGGGTGCCCCTCCCATCTCTCCCTGTAACAGTGTCACATACTTAGCATTATGCTCCAACTACTCATCACACAGCTTTCGTCTTCTATTCCACAGATAAAGGAGAGGCCAGGCAGGAGCCTGCCTGGTCCATCCTCCATGGCCAAGCCCACACCACAAGCTGGGACCAAGGCCACTAGGCCTCCTCCTGTGCACACCCAGGCTAACACCTTCCACTCACATCTGCCCAGACCCTACACCACATGCCTGGTAGTCACCCTGGACACCCCCTTTATCCTCCTCTATGACCTGTGGCCACTAGAATAGGCCATCCCCAAAGAAGTTCTCAGATATGGCATGGTCTGTCCTTCCCAGGCCCCCTTCCTCACAGGATGCTCTGCTTCCTCACTGGTCTTCCTGCTCAGTCTTCTCTTCTTACCCTCTGAGGGTTCCCTCAGGGCAGTGACCTAATGTTTGGCCATGCCTCCACAGCCATGTGCGAGCACCCAGAAGTAGAAGGCTACAGTAACACAAGACTCCATTACACCAATGAAGAATCACTCTGATGGAATCAGCTGTATGTGCCAGGGAGTGGCTAATTTGGGGCATCGCTTTCATAAAATGGAGGTCTCAAAACCTTCTATGTCTCCACTCTGGGGAAAAGCCCAGACTACTTGGTCCAGCATAGACACCTAGGCCTTCTCCCCCGTTTTGGCCTTCCTCAGGGGATTGGGGGGCTGCTATCCCTAATCCCCATGCCACATCCCCTGGTGGGCCTGTATGAGCCGTGCGTAGGGCACCCTCTGAGGCACCTCCCTGATCCCTGAGACACCAGGCCCTCTTCAGATAGCTAGCCATTTCTACCCAGGGGATCTGGGGGGCCACCTGCAACCCTGTGGCTGCCTCTCCCCAACCAGCCTACACACTCTGAGGGTGAGGACCCGCCAATTAAGCCCCTGCAATGCCTGGGGCCTAGCACGGCATGTAACCCAAAGGAAGTGCTAGGCAAATGTTCACTCCTGGCTTTCATTCGTGCTTGACTGTTTTTTTCTGATTTCTAATTTTGTTACAAGTAAAGAGGGGTGATGACTCAGGCTCTCTGAGTGAATATAATTCTGAGAGTATGAGGGGAGTCTGTGACCTCCCACAGGAGCACCCTATCTGGGATGAATGCTGTGTGATGTGCCCAGCAGAGTGAAGTGGACGCTGAGGCCCCAGAAATGTCAAGTACTTCCAGTGTAGAGCTGCCAGGAGGTGGGACGGATCCTGCTGCACGTAGCACTGCACAGGTAGTTCCCACCCGTAGCAGCCTGACCCTCAGTCAGCCTTGATACACTCTTTGTGAAATCCTCATGGTCCTGTGCATCAGAGACTCACTAAGCAAGTCCTCCCCTCTGAGAAGTCCCCATTTCATATCACACCACACACTTTTTTCTTCCTTTATTCATTGAAGGGGCCACAAAGTACAGAGTAAAATTCTCTATCCCCAAAATTATGTGCAAACCTGAACTCTCCCCAGGAATGGGAACAAGCCTTGGCACCCACTAACCTGTCCTTATTGACAGAATCGCCCGCAGGTCTGGCACTGGCAGCCACCACAGGCTCTGTACAAGGCTTCGAGGCGCCGAAGGAGTTAGGGGTACTGGAGTCCAGTGGCAGTAGCTGTGGACTGCTATGAGAAGAGAGCATGGTGCCCGCCAGGGAGCCCGAGAGGGGGATGCTGTTAAAGAATGCCGTGGAGAAGTCCCTGTCATCAAGTAAGAACAAAAGTCAGCCTTGAAAGTCAGGTGCCACATCCAGTAATTTATACATTCAAATAACTTTCTTTCTAGGTCCAAAGGCAATGTTTTCATGATAGAAAATCTGCAAAGTTACAGAAAAGTAAAAAGAAATTTAAACCCATTTAATATACTATATTTAATTGAATCTAGGATTTACAGGTTCTCTATGTACTACTAAGAAAGAAAACAATGCTGCTACTTGTCAGATGCCACTGATTGTACAACACACCCTAATCTCAGAGGTGTTAAACTATGCAAACACATGTCGTAGGAGCTGCTGTACCAGCATGTAAGGTATTGCAGTGTCAAAACTAAGGATTCTGGGACAAACCAGCCAGGTCTGACTCCTCTGCCATTTGCAAGCTTGTGACTTGTTCCAACTACTCTTGTCTGCAAAATGCAAAGTGCCAGGACTCTCCCCATGGGGTTGCTATCAGGACTAAAGTAGTTAGTGTAGGACACTCTTCGAACACATATTGGGTGCTCAAAGAATTATGAAATTCTAATAATTGTCATTACCCCTAAGATTCACATAATACATGGGATAAATTCCTGGAAGTGGAATTGTAGCAGCAAATGGAATCTTCACTGATGATTTGGAATAAATATTTCTAAAGTGCCCTCCTTAGAGGTTTAAATTACAAGGCATGTATAAGGGTGCCTATTTCCCCACATAGGCACTTGGTAACACTTTCATCAAATTTCTTGACACCTAATAATCTGAAAGTTGAAAAATGGTATCTTACTTTAACTTTGATATGAGTGATATTGACATTTTTTCAAATCGAAATACTTGATTTCCAGCCGGGCACAGGGGCTCACGCCTGTAATCCTACCACTCTGGGAAGCCGAGGCAGGTGGATCACTTGAGGTCAGCAGTTCGAGACCAGCCTGGCCAACATGGTTAAACCCCGTCTCCACTTAAAATACAAAAATTATCCGGGCATGGTGGTGGGCGCCTGTAATCCCAGCTACTCGGGAGGCTAAAGCAGAAATCTCATGAACCTGGGAGGCGGAGGTTGCAGTGAGCCAAGATCATGCCTTAATTAAAAAAAACAAAAAAACATATATATATATATGATTTCCTTTTTTGGTGTGTGAACTGCTTGTTCATAAATATTTTCCCTGGGATGTTGTGTTTCAACTCTTTATGGCCTTTTATTTTTCTTTGTTGTCGAGATGGAGTCTCATTCTGTCACCCAGCTGGGGTGCAGTGGCATGATCTCGGCTCACTACAACAACCGCTCCCAGGTTCAAGTATGAACCATCATGCTTGGCCAGCCTATCTTTTAAATCCACTAAAATTTTTAAAATTTTGTGTAGTCTAAATTGTCATTTACAGAAAATACTTTTTTGATCTGAGATTATAAAAATATTCTTCCAGGGAATCTTCTAAAGTTTTAAATAAAAATATTTTAAACAACAAAAAGTCAGTATTTAAAAAAAAAAAAAACAAAAAAAAAAAACTCTGGGCTGTTTAGAATGTATGTAATGGTAAATTGTAAGGTTGGGAACCAACATTGTTTCTAGAGGGTACCAGGTAGTAATGACTTTCATTTACTGAATTAGCTAAAGTTTTATCACTGATGTGAAATGCTACCTTTAAAATTCCCATAACTATTTGGGCCTATTTCCTGATATTCTATCATATTCCATTGCATTATCTACTCATGTGTCAGTATCTCACTGTTTTGAGTATGATAGCCTTTAAGTTCTGGTAGGGCTAGTCTACCCTGATTAATCTTCTTTTTCAGAAATATTTCAGTCATTCCTATTTGTTTTTCCACATAACTTTATTTTATTTATTGATTGATATGACATCTCACTCTGTCACCCAGGCTGGAGTGCAGCGGCACAATCTTGGCTCACTGCAACCTCCCAGGTTCAAGCAATTCTCCTGCCTCAGCCTCCAAGTAGCTGAGACTACAGACACACACCACCATTCCCAGCTACTTTTTATATTTTTAGTAGAGATGGGGTTTCAACCATGTTGGCCAGGCTGGTCTCAAACCCCTGATCTCAGGTGATCTGCCCACCTCGGCCACCCTAAGTGCTGGGAATACAGGCATGAGCCACTGTGCCTGGTGGATTTTTCCACATAACTTTATAGAGTTACCTTGTCTGATTCCAAAAATTCCTATGGTTATTTGTACTGGTTAAATCAGCTACAGGACAGCTCACATCTTTATGATGCCATCCTAGCTAATCAATGGCATGAATTTCTAGTTACTTCTTTTGAGTTTTCCTTGAGGCCTCTCAGTAGGGTTTTTAATTTTTTCTTCATTAAGATCTACATCTCTGGTTGCATCCTAAGTCTTTTATTTGTGAATATGACATTTCTTTATGGGCTCTGAGGGTAGTTGGTGCTACCTGACTTCATGTTGATTGTATCCAGCCATGTGACTGTCTTCTTTCATTGCCTATGGCAGTTTTTCCAGATAATTCTCTTACAAATTACATCATCCTTAAATAATTATCCTTTCTAATTTGCTCTTTCCCTTGACTAACTACACAGGCTAGAACCTATAGAGCAATGTTAAATTATAATTCCAAGAGTAGGCATTTATTTAGTTTTTGAACTTAATTTGAAATAATTTATCGAGTTAAGGAAGCATCCACCTACTCCCATTTAACTGAGTTTTAAAACAAAATGGCATTGAATTTTACCAAAATGCCTGTTAAGCATTGATAAAAGAGATCATATAATTTTTTTCTTTTGATCTACTGATATGTGGAACTAAACAGTTACCTAAAATTTGAACCTCCTTACTTTCCAGAAACAAACCTCACTTGATCATGGTATATTAGCCTTTTAACATGCAGTAAGGTTCTGCTTGTTACTATTTTACTTAGGTTTTGCATTGACATTCAGAAATGAGACTGATCTGGGATTTATGATGTTTTATCCTTGTTAGATTTTGGTGTAAATATTATGTTCATTTCAAAATAAAAATCTGCACATTTCTTCTCCATGAACTAGAATATTTAAAATGGTATTAACAGTTACCTGTTCCTTAAAAGTTCCTGAGGTTTCCCTGTGAAGCAGTCTAACTCTGGTGACTTTGGTGGGGTTAACTCTGTGACACTGTCCTCTATCTCTTCTACAACAATTTTTTACTTTCATTAATTTTATTTTCTTTAAAAACCATCCACTTTATGAAGTTCAGCAAATAGTTTCTCAACTTTTTTGTCTGCTATTATTTCTCACTTACACCTGCTTTGCATATTTAAGCTTTTCTTTTCTTTCTTGATTTAGCTCAGCTAATAAGGACCTATTCTGTTGCTACTTGTTAGAACGTGGGAATCAGGAGGCCAAAAAGCTTTTAACACTAAAGGGATCCGGTCCTGGTGCCAGAAATATGCATCCTATGTCAGAAAGTTGGCCCCAGACCAGCTAGAAAGCCATCTACATCTTCTCACCAGGTAAGGCCTAGAATGATCCACAGTACAAAGTGTCACCATCACCACCTCCCCGTCCCTCAGACCCAGTGTGTTCAGAGCTCAGACCCACACCAGGTCTCATTTGGTCCTAGTAAAAGGTAGGCAGGGGCATTACCTCGTATAGGGTCACAATAGGAAAAAGACTTAGTCAAAAGAAAATGACTGCTCTGGGGGAGTCAGTAGACCTGGTCTGGCTCTACTCGCAGGGATCTCAGAGCCTGCACACCTAAGACAAGGAGATGGATCTGTACACTGTACAAGTGAAGGTTTCTTCAGGAAGATTTGGAATAGCTCATGGATAGACAACTGCTAAACACAGAGGCCTGGATGTGTGTAGTTTCCATGAAGGGCTTACTGATGCCCTGAGCAGATCAGTGGTATGAAAATAAAACCCAGAGTGTGAACTGCCTTGACAGTGGGGGTCTATTTTTTTCACCCAGGGCCTTATCATTTTTCTTTCCTTTTTTTTTTTTTTTTTTTTTTTGAATCAACACACATCATTTTGGGGAGAATAACCATTCAAAAACAATCTGCACTGATATACTCAGACAACAGCAAGTGGTGAATGAGTTTCTTCCCCCATCTCTGTCCCTCAAAGGGAAATGTGTTTCAGAGCCCTACCCTCTGCCCAATAATTCCATTTCTACAAGTTATTCTGAGAGAACAACCACAGGTGAGCTCAAAGACTCATTTACAATCACAAGAAACTGGACACAAATACAAGTCCACAATGAGCTGGCTAAGCAAATCCTAGGACGGGAACCTGGATAATCAGATAGCAAATGCTTCAGAGGACTAGTTATTAAAATGGATGAATAGGCAAGAAACAGTAACAAGTGAGGAAAAAAAGACTGGAAATAGAGATATCAAATACAGTGACTATACTGGAGAGACTGGATTATGGATTTTTTTTTTCCTTTGGACTTTTACTATTTTCTAAATTTAACACGTGTAAACATACCTTTCATAATAAAAAAAAAAAATAACATTATGAAAGACAAAAAATATCAGCCTGATTGCTTTCCCTGTGTGTCCTCTGGTGCCCTGGCAACAGTGAAGTGCAGCAGACGTGCCTAGCCCTCCCACCCACCACATGATTCAGGTGTGCACAAGGGCTCCAGGAGGAGTGTGCGCTTTGCGACTACAGGAAGCTGGGCTCAACTTCCTTGCTTCCACATTCTACCAGTCAGGTTGTGAAGGGCCTTTGAAGATCCTCACTGTGAAAGCATTAACTGCTAAAAGAAGATAGGAAGACCTCGCTAGATAAAATCATAAAAGCGGAATGAACCAGTACCCAGTGTCCAGCTGTGCTATGCAGAGAGGTGTGATTCTTCTCCGACCATCTGCCGTCCGAGTCTCAACTTGCTTCTTCAAAAGATTCTGGCAAAGCAGAGTTACATAAATGCAAAGTTTCTGCCGACTATTTCCAAATAAAAAATAAAGTTTCTTTTTTTCCTGGTGATAACAACATTTAGCATAAGATCTATCCAATTAGCGAGGTTTTAAGTGTGCAGTATTGTATTGTGAACTATAGGCACTATGCTGTAGGCGAGATCACTAGGACTTATTCATCTTCTATACCTTAAACGTTATACTCTTTGGCTAATAACTCCCATTTTCCCCTGACCCCAGTATTCACCATTCTATTATCTGCCTCTGTGAGTCTGACTATTTTAGATTCCTCATATAAGATGAATATCATGCAGTACTTGTCTTTCTGGATCTGGGTTATCATTACTTTGTACACATTAAATATGTGTAACTTTTTATATGTCAATTATATCTCAACACAGTAGGTTTAAAAATAATAAGGCTTCTGGCCGGGCGCGGTGGCTCAAGCCTGTAATCCCAGCACTTTGGGAGGCCGAGGCGGGTGGATCACGAGGTCAAGAGATCGAGACCATCCTGGTCAACATGGTGAAACCCCGTCTCTACTAAAAATACAAAAAATTAGCTGGGCATGGTGGCACGTGCCTGTAATCCCAGCTACTCAGGAGGCTGAGGCAGGAGAATTGCCTGAACCCAGGAGGCGGAGGTTGCAGTGAGCCGAGATCGCGCCATTGCACTCCAGCCTGGGTAACAAGAGCGAAACTCCGTCTCAAAAAAAAAAAAAAAATAATAAGGCTTCTAAGGAAATATATTCTAAATTCCCCTTCTAAGCCCTTTTGGTACAGCTAAACTAGCCACCTAAGCAAGAACAAGCCGTGGGCACATGCTGCACTGGCCGCCCCGCACAACAGCCATGAGGCCAATGAAGGGGCTCAAGGACTGAGCCCTGCGCCCGTAGCCACGTCTGTCACTGAGCTAAGGATTTTATCTTTTTTTTTTTTTTGAGATGGAATCTCATTCTGTCGCCCACGCTGAGTGCAGTGGCGCAATCTCGGCTCACTGTAACCTGCGCCTCCTGGGTTTAAGCAATTCTCCTGCTCAGCCCCCCATGTAGCTGGGACTACAGGAATGCGCCACCATGCTCAGCTAATTTTTTTTTTTTTTTAAGTAGAGACAGGATTTCACCATGTTGGTAGGGCTGGTTTGGAACTCCTGACATCAAGTGATCCATTCGCCTTGGCATCCCAAAATGCTGGGATTACAGGTGTAAGTCACTGCACCTGGCCTGAGATAGCGATTTTCAAACTGACTTTCAAAATAGAATCCTTTCTTCCACAGAAATCTCATAACTAGGGGTTTTCTCTCATACTTTATATCTTAATTGCCTGGAGGAGTTTTGTCAGCCTACATATGGTCCTGGAGATAGTTTATATACACCAGGCAATAACGTTCCTTACCCTTTTCCAATCCCTTTTCATGAAACATGGCTTCCAGATGAAGAAGGGGAGCCCACAGAAGTCTCCTAAGGTCAGAGCCTGAAATCCACTATTCTTAGTATCTAGGATTTCCTAGAAAGGCAGGCAGGCTAAAGTTTGTAAGTTGTTACAAGAGATGACCTCCTCTGGGCTCCTGGATATATAGTGGCCTTTGACAACGGGGATCCAGGCCCCACTACTATGTCATGCAGTGGTGGGCAAGGAGCCAACAAGCCCAAGGCTGGCTAACCCACAAATCCCATGCCACACTAAGCAGACGCCCTCTTTACCACCACTGGTGTCTGCCCCTCACCCTGTCCCCTGGTCATGTGTCTATGTCTTTAGTACCACCAGGCAGGGCTCTCACCTTCCTAATATCTTCAAGACTCTCCCCGTTGACGACGCCTGCAACTGAGGTGGCTGAGCCTGTCTCCCTGGTGGAGGCACTTTTCTGGTCCAGCTGCTGCTGCTGCTGCCTCCGCTGGTACTTGAGCATCTCAGGGTTCTCAATGACGGCTGTGGAGAGCTGGGCCTCAGTCATGATGGCCAGGCTCTTGCCATAGGTGGACTGGTGAATGCGGCTCTGGGGAAGCAAAGAGAGGCACAACATGCCAGTGTAAGCACCAGCATGGCCAATGTCGCCCACAAGTGGGCAAACTAGAGCAGAGCTCTCCTGGCTCTGAGTGGAGAAGGGACCCAAGGCCAGCTTCCCATTGCCTCCCACCCTATTCTGCTTGTCCCTCATTTGACAGCTCTGTTGATGTCTCATGCCCTCCCTTGATGTTTATGGCCTTCCTTGTATCTGTAGCTGGGATGACAGTAAATGAGACAGCCAAGAAGACAACACCTGCCCCACAGTCTGGTGCAGAAAACATGACAATCCACAGTGTCCACAGTGTTTCAATGGAAAGGAAGACAATCAAGTTGCTAACTTAAGGCTCTTAAATCACTCCTAGGACCCAAATGCATTTGGGAATCAGATCCTAGAACAAGAGTCTACTTTCACAGCTCATCTGCAGCCATCAGTCCTGTGGATGGAGGTCCCCATGGGTCTGCTTACAGTGTCTCTAGAGTATGGGAAGGCCTGGAATAGCAGAGCTGGGGAGGCTCCTTTACCACCACCTCTCCTAATATGTCATCATCCTTCCCTCCTCCTAGGCGCTTGTAGTCTTGGGCCCTAACAAGCTAGGCAGGAGCCCCATGAGAGCAGAGATGGTATCCCCAGCACACTGCAGTGACTGCTGTGCATGAAAGTGCATGAGGAACAGACGTCCATGGGATGTGCAAATGTCCAACGTGGGATTCTGCCCAAGAACAGGGACTGCTCTTGGTTAAGAGGATATCTGCTTTACAACAGAGCATGGGTTGAAAGGCAGTGTTCCAAGAGAGGTGCCTTGGGACTCACTCCTGCAGGACTTGATGTGTCCCGGAACCTCCTTCCCTTGCCATCTTGGCTCCTGCCGTTCTCTCCTGAGTCTATCCCCTGCAATCTCGAGGCAGAATTCAATGTTTGCCAGGGCATCCCTAGTGTTCCCGAAACATGGGGTCCCAGTCTGTGACTTGAGAAATGTAAATGCAGTCAGCAAGGCAGACCTCTGCCCCAAAGGGGTTCACATTTTAGTGGAGAGGTCACACTGTAGGTTAAGAGGAAGCTTCCACCAGCAAATAAGGTCATATGGGAGAGCTGCCAGACTGCTCTAGGCTTTCACAGAACTCCCTTCAGACACATACATACATCCCACCAAGTGGCAGCAGGTTTCTAAGCCTATGGTGGGTGAAGCAGGGCTTTTCGCAAAGCTTGGCAGAAGGGCACGGAGACCCCATCACCCCCGCAGAGCACAGAGGGGAGGTGGCCTGGCCCAGAGGCAGTAGGCCTGGTTCACTCTTCTAACCTAAGGTTCACGTACAGACTGGGCAAAGGGCCACGCTATTTTCTGAGGCTTAGTTTCCATATCCACAAAATGGATGAGCTCTGCCTTGAAGGGTTTTGGGCAATTTAAATGAAATTGTATGTGCAAAACACATTTCCAGAGCCTGGCATCCGATACGTGCTAAGAAATGACCAATATTACTACCATGAAGGGGAAAGTGATGTTGGCAGAGGCCTTTGAGGAGTCACTTCAGCTCTTTCTCAGGGCAAAAACTTCCCAGTAGATGGCCTATTATCAGCTCAAGAAGAGATGCCCAAAATAGTTCTACTCTTAACTCCAGGACTTATTTCTAAAATGAACAGAGACTCGTTTTTAAATTAATCTATGCTGTAAAGAAGGATTACAACCTATAAAAGACGAATATCCTATTACATGTTAAGAAATGACGCTTCTATGTATCCCACAAGAAGAGGGTGTAGTAGGGGTCTCTCAGAGCTACTGTAGCTATGGCCCCAAAGCGCCCAGCAGCACAAGGGCTATCAGCCTACCTTCTCCTCCTCGCTTAGGGGATCTCCAAGCTCATCCTGGGAGAAGTCAAGGAATGCCACAGAGCCATCCATGGAGCACACCAAGATGCCAAGCCCATTCAGAGTCCTGAAAGACACGGTCATCAGCAGCCTGGTAGCAAGAGCCCCAGGCAGACACACGTCACAGGAGCTGGCCTGTGAGGATGCTGGACCATGCTTCTAGGGAGATGCTGGCAACTCCTAGTTCCCTTCTGTGGCCTGAGGGTGGTGGGGGGGAGGGTGACAACTGCATCCCATAGGGCCCTGGTGTCCTTTAGTTCTAAGCAGGTATACAAAGTATCCCTTACCATATGTTCTGTAAGAATTTTCAATTTTATTTATCTTAGTTTTGAAACCATTAAGAAAAAAAACACAACTTGACAAAATATCCATACAAGTCAGGTCATTGAGAAGCAAAAGGTGTGCTTCTCACTTTGTTTCATGCAAAGACAGAGTAAAGTGGAGCCTACTAGGATCACATCATTCTCTTTGTCTTATACAAATCCTGAGAAGGCATTTTCCAGTAGCAAATCCTACACAGGCAGGACATTCTCACAGCAACAGGCAAACCATTGCCAGTTCCCGAATCACAGGCAAACAGCACTCTTAGTCTGTGCCACTGTGACACCTGGGGATGGGCCACTGGTCGGCCACCTGACCCTAGTCACATCCAGGAGGCCTCATGTTCCAATGTGTGGTTTCTGCTTTCTTTCTAACCTATTCCCATAAGTAAAATACACCTTACCAGGAAATGTCCATGATGGATTTGTCAAACAGTTCATGGATGACCACCAGCGGCCGTTTCAGACATGTGAGCTGGAAAGAAAGACACAGCCAAGGTTAATGAAATTACTCAAATCCGCTTTTGCATTCAGCTCAGTTAACATAACCAGCCTAGAAGCCTTGGTCAGAGTGGCTGCTGATATTTAAGGCATCTTCAACTCTACTCAAACTGTTGCTGTAGAGACCCCAAACTATGGGAACCAAAGCTTGCCAAAAAAGTTCATCCTACCTAGAGTGGAGCCTGCCTCCAGGGCTTTCTTTGGTCTGACGGGGAGACAGCTTTAGACACAGACAAGCAGCAATGGAGAAGGCAGAGCGGGAGTGGGTTTTTGAAGGGCTATGGTCTGAGCAGAGGGACAGTCCCAGTGTGGCCCTCTGAGAGGGTCTATGGAACAGGAAACAGGATGCCAAAGCCTAGATAGGGGGTGAGGCACCCTGAGAGAGAATACAACACATCTTCCCTGGGCCCAAGGGACTCTGGTACACATTTAGCCAAGGCTCATTCTACACTATGTGCAGGTAATACAGAAATACACACTTGGGCCCTTAATTTAGGCACAGTTACCTACTATTAACACTTTGATGAATTATTTCCTTCTATTTTATGCAAATATTTATTTTATTTTTCAAAGTAAGGCACATGGTTGTGGCTGCTTTTTCATTTAACACACAGTAAGTATGTCATTAAATAGCCTATAAAAGTCTCTTTTGGATGACTGCATAACATGCACTGTGTGCATATTCTCCATCAAGTCACCCGATTGCTGGCATGCATGCTGACTCCACGTTCCCACAACTATGGTAGGCTCTTTCTCTCATGCACAAGTGCCTGGCTACCCTGCTGGCTGGCCCTGAGCTGCAGGATGGTGGGCAGGTAAGAAACACACTTCCTCAAGGGATCGTGGGCTCCCTTAGGTGCTGCTGCAGCTTCTGGGAGGCTGTGCTGCTGAGTGTCCCAATGCAGCCTGAGAGTGCCATGTGGGGAAGGAGAAGCTGTGTCCACTCTAGTGCTGGAGAGGGGTCTAGAGTCTGAGCTATCTGGAACCCACATTAAGAATCTTGCTTCCACCCTAATTCCACTTCTAGAAAAAGCTGCCTTGTACCTCCTCCCATAAATATGCTTACAGACCCTCAGAAATCTGTAGGCTGTGTGACTGCCTGACCTGAGCATTCTAAGAAATATGGGTACCACAGTCAGTGATGTTTTGGTTGCAGCCCCACAAACAGGGCCTCAGGCTGGGAGGAGACAGGGAAGGTGCCCTGAACGGCTCTCTGTGGTACTGTGGTTCAGGTTCCAGAATGGGTGTTAAGTGAATACTGGGCCTAAAAAAAAAAAATCACAACACACACAGTAATAGATTTCTGTACAACAAACTGTAATAAATGCAGCCAGAGGATAACCTTCAAAACCAGAACTTCAAACTTGCTCAGCTTATAGGGACACTTTTTTACAAAGTGAAAAAAAAAAATTAATGTGTGTGCACTTTGCTTTATCAAACTTTAAATACATTGGCACGTCGACACTCAGCAGCAAGGCTGCTTCCTGCACTGCATGCGGAGGTGTCTCTCACCATATAGTCAGGTCACAGTACACCAGCTCCTGGCAGTAAGAAAATTAACCCTTCAGGAGCCCTCACTTAGAAACCGCCACAATACTTACCCTTGGGTTCTCACTCACCAACTACCCTTGAATAGCTCTGCTGAGAACCTGTTCTGTGGAGGGCACTGAGTTAGGACGGTGAGGGGAACAATGAAGACACATTGGGCTGGGTGTGGGGGCTCATACCTGTAATCCCAGCACTTTGGTAGGCTAAGGTGGCGGATCACCTGAGGTCAGAAGTTTGTGACCAGCCTGGCCAACATGGTGAAACCCCGTCTCTACTAAACTTACAAAAAAAATTAGCCGGGTGTAGTGGTCTGTAATCCCAGTGCCACTGCACTCCAACCAGCCTGCTGGGCGATAGAGGGAGACTCCATCTCAAAAAAAAAAAAAAGAAGGTGAAGACACACATTGCATCATCTCAGGGGCTCCTGCAAGTAAGGACTACCAGGCTCACAACCTTACCCGTCACAGTATCGCCCAGGGGTGAAATGGACTAATAAATGGAGGTATCAGCTGTCTGTGTATCTTTTTTTGTGTGTGGACATAAGCACTCATCTGTCTTGGTTATATGCCTAGGAGTGGAAGTGCTCTAGGTCATATGCTTAGCTGTGGTAGAAACTGCCAAACACGGTTCCCAAGTGCTCATGCCAGCATCAACACCTGTCAGTAATATATCACTTCCAGCTTATCATGTCCTTGCCAACACTTGGTTCTATCTTTTAACTTTAGCATACTACTCCTAGGTATGTACTCACAAATAAATGAAAACATATGTCCACATAAAGACTTATACAAGAATATTCATATCAGCTTTAGTCGTAATATCTCAAAACTGAAACAATCTTAATGTCCATCAATAGGAGAATGTATAAGCAAACTGTGGTGCATTCACACAGTGGAATGCTACACAGAAATTATAAGGAATAAAATACTGTTAAGTGTAGCAACATACAGGAATCTCAAAAACACTATGTCAAGCAAAAGAAGTGAAGACACAAAGAAGCAAGCAACACACAACTGCATTTATATGAAGTTCAAGAGCAGGCAAAACTCATTAGTATCTGTTATACTGTCAGCATACTGTTATACTGTCAGTATCTGCCATTAGAGTGGTTGCTTTGGTGGTGAGGGAGGTCTTGACTCGGGAGGGACAAAGGGACAAAAAGGAGTACTCTAGGCAGTAATGACGCTGGTGTGTAAACATGTATGACAACTCACCAAGCTGTACCTTTCAGGCAAATACACTTTATATAAAGATTTTTCTAATAGGAAGCAAGCCCAACATGCTGCCCATGGCACTGACCACTGAGGGTGCTGCCTGAGTCTGGACACAAGAGCTGGTCTAGGTAGGGTTCAAGGTGCCCTCTCCTGGCTGAGCACAGACCCAGTCTTTAACACTTTCTTCTGGGAGAGCAGGAGAGCCTGTGAGCTTCCAAGGAGGGGCTGACCCCAGGTGCGGAGTAGAAGGTACACTCTGAGCATTACCCAAAGCAGGTCTCTCTTTCCACCACTCACTACTTCCCCAATCTATACCTCACATTCTGCAACAAAAGCTTAGGGTGGCAGGCTCACCCAGACAGAAAGCGAGCGGTCCTTGCTGCCAACAGCGCAGCAGCAGTATGGGCAGCTGGGCTTCGTAGAACTCCCATTCTTCTGCTTCTTTTTGAAGATTTTTGGGTTGAATTTCTAAAGCCAAATAACAAATGTTAAAAATAATTGATCAAGCATCAGGCATGTCCCCTGTGCCCAAGTCCCAGCCCGCTGAAGGGAGTCTCCCACAGACATTCTCTGAGCCCAGGCACTGAGCATGCATCTTCCTGACCAACAATGAGGCATCTGGCTGATGATGGAAAGGAGGCTTAGGGAGGTCAGAAAGTATGTGCAGAGGCATCAAATGAGGAAGCTGGGAAATGCAGATGTAAAACCAGCACTACCAAACTCTCCCCATTTCTGCAGCCTGCCAAGTAGAGGGGATGGATAACTATTGAAACTAGCCTTCTCAATTCCCTCTGGCCTGGCAGGGACATCCCTAGGACCTGTGGAAAAGGTGAGCCTCCAAGGGTGCTTCAGAAACACAGACCTGCTCATTCCCTATCTCCTAAGACAGGCCAAGGGAATGTGCAGGAAGGGTGTGAACCTCTGAATTCCTTCTTGACTCACTGCAATTGTTGTTTGGTCATAACTGTCTAGCAGAGATCCACTCAGTCAGAGTCATTTGTGATCTCCCTGGGCCAGAGACCAAGGCTACATGACACAAAGGTGCTTCATTGGCTGCTTAGACCAGGGAGCTACCTCCAGAATAACTTCTCTTTTTTTTTGGAAAGGATGGAAGCATACACTGAGCTCCCAGCCACCTTCCTGGATTTAAAGGGGATGGGTGCTCTGGGAATCCCCAACCTAGGAAAACTGAGGGCAGAGGAAAGAGGGTTCCGGAAAGCCTGATGTCAGGTAGTCTAGAGATATTTTAATTCCAGAGGGCAGGCAAGAATGACCAGGGGTGCACAGAGACTGGAGAGGATGGAACCCAGAGGCATGTCCCCAGGATTATAGTCTCTAGCACCAGGAGGCTGCAGGGTCTTTCCAGCTCTGTGAGCCAAAGGCAGGGGTCATGATCTCCCAGAACAGCTCTAAAGTGGTTGTGAGGACTGCATGGGAGAATCATGTAGAGCACTAACCACGAAGCAGTGATTTCCAAAGACTTTAGCAACAAAATTCTGGTTCAAACAAAACCCTACATGGACTCCAAAACAAAAAAATTAAATAAGTAATACTTTATTCACACAAAATTTATATTTTAAGGTACACTATATGATGCTTATTATCTGTTTAAACAAAGGCAAAAATAAGCCCGTTTTCATCAGGGTCTCAGACGATCCTTCACTTTTATCAACATTAGCCCACCAATCTGTTTATTTATTGGCTACCCAGTGTTAAGAAAGTCCTGGTTCTCACAGATTATTTGCAACTGCTTAACGGCTTGCCTGGGGCTCTGTCAGAACGCTCTTTAATTAAATTAATGGAGAAGCATAAGAGGAGTGTCCAGACACCTCTCCTGCCTAAGGACCCACAGCAGTTCACGCCTCTGAGCTCTTCAGCTGCTGCAGCAACATCTGGCAGCAGCTCCTAACTTAGTGATCCATGGCACAGCCTTGCACCTGTGGTTGATGCTGCCAGGTGTAGGGACAAGCACAGTGCTTGGTGGGTGCACCAGAATCACACCTGTATTCACTGGAGCCAGGTGAGGGGGGCACTGTGCTTGGGCACCCATGAGCATACCTGAGTATGTAAAAGGCTGATGAGGAACTACAATGTTCCTGGCCCAAGACTGATTTTGTTGATGTTCACCATGTTAAAGTTTGCCAATAAATCAACCAAGTACATACTCTTACTATCTGAAATTAGTTTTAAAATATTTAAGCATAACTACTTAAAATAAATCAAGAATTAATATGTGCTGAATCTTGGAGCCCATCCCCCTCAGTTCCCTGGGCACTCACCACGACAGTCACAGCTTTCCGGTGCCCTACAAAGTCCATGTTGGTCTTCCATCCCTCCCGTTCAATGATCTGGGCAGTGGGGCCTGAGTTGTTCATGGCATGGGCAGATACCAGGTAATGCCCATCAGGTGACCAGCTGAGCCGCAACACATGTGTCGTTCCTCCACACTGAAAAAAGCATCTGCACTTGAAAGGAGCTCAAGGCCACCTCTGTGACCAAAACTCTGGCCTCAAGGATAAAGTCCAACTTCAATTTATAAATGTGTGATGGTGGAGCATTCATCCCAAGCTTCTGGCTACACTGACAGCTTCCATCTCTCCAGATGGCCCAACCAAAAAGGGCTCTGTGAAATGAATTTGGAAACTGCAGCATCCTACACTCCCCCAGAGAAGCTGAACAAAGAAATATAGTTCAGAAGTATAGGCCCTGAGGAGCTCTGCAAGAAGGCTACCTGTCTGAACCGTAGCCTCTGTGTGGGCCAAATCTCTCTGGTCACTAACCCAATTCTTCTGTACAGCACCTGTTAACCTACCATATGGCATCTGCACAGCATCCTCAAGGTATACTGTGGTGGAGAAAAAGCCCTTTTAACCCAGGAGCCTGGCAGAAGCCTGTGACTGTAATAGCTGATGACCGAGGCACCACCTATTATCTTGAGCCTGTTGCTTCACCCGAAGGGTAGTGAGGACACCCACAAGGGAAAAGAGGTTTGTAATGTCCTCATAAACTGCAAAAGGAACAGTAGAGAGGCACTGTTCCCCTGACCTGGACTGGGGGCTGAGGCAGGGCATCCTTTCACATTATTCCTCCTGCAAAATGAGATGACATGGATCTAGAGCCAGCTTCCTGAAGCTCAAGGTGGACCCAGGGCAGCTCTAAAGACTTAAGGGTTAAGATCATGACCTCACAGCTCTAGGGCAGGACAGGACAAAGCAGGGCCTGAGTGTAGTGAAATCACCCACCTCAGCTCCCAGCCTTAGGCCATAGATCCACCTCTACCTTGAAAGATGGGCCCACCCAGCAGAGGCTGAAGATTACTGCCAGCTCCTGCTGGTACTCAAGACACTCCTAAAGCCGTCCCTAGGAGTCCAGCTCATAGGACCCCACTGCCTGGCAGTCAGCCCTGAGGAACTCCAGAAGGAGCAAAAGTTCCTTAGGGCAAGACTAAGTAAGGTAAAAACCAGTACATACCTAGCCCAGGAGCTGGTGTCATGCAGGGAGAACTGAACATATGACTATCACTTTACTTTTGCAGCCATCCTGACCAGTGGACAAATGCCTGCTCTTCCTGCAAACTTTCACTTATGTGTCCCTTGTTCTGTGAAGTCTTCCCTGATACACTCACCTCTCCTGGGCTGTTTCTGCACTCCGGACAACTCCATAATCATATAACTGATGGGAATGCCTGTCTTTCCTTGGGGCTTTAAGCTTCAAGAGGAAAGACTCCATCTCAATCTACTTTTATTTCCCTGTGTCCAGTATTGCCTTCTACACAGTAGACACTTAATAAATGTCTAATGAGCAATGGTGATCTTGAACTCTCATTCCATTTGAAATCAGAACTCAAAGGAAGAGAGAGTAAAATACTACAGATGCTACAGTCTGATCTCCAAACATGTGCAAACTGTACTGCTAACTCCAGCCAGGAAAGAAGGTCCCTGAACTACAGGGTGCATATCAACAACACAGCACAGTCAGGAATGGCCCGAGGGACTCTTCCATCCTGCCTCGGCCTCCAACAAGCTGCTCTGCAGGAGGCTCAGTGTAAACTCCACACTCTAAGAAGCAGTTTAATCCATGTCTGTGGCAGTGAGCTGGGTGACAGAATGATGTGGAGACATCTCCATGGTTCACTTCAACTTTAAAACTATAAATCCAAGCCAGGCACAGTGGTTGATGCCTGTAATTCCAGCACTTTGGGAGGCTGAGGCGGGCAGATCACCTGAGGTCAAAAGTTCAAGACCAGCCTGGCCAACGTGGTGAAACCCCATCTCTACTAAAAATACAAAAATTAGGTGGGCGTAGTGGCAGGCACCTGTAGTCCCAGCTACTCGGGAGGTTGAGACAGGAGAATTGCTTGAACCTGGGAGGTGGAGGTTGCAGTGAGCTGAGATTGTGCCATTGCACTCCAGCCTGGGTAACAAAAGAGAAACTCCATCTAAAAAAAAAAAAACCCAAAAACTATAAATCCTTTCATTTCAAAGTCGGAAATTAAATGGCATCTCAGAAATGAAGGATTTTGTATTATCTGACCTTTAGGGCCAGAGTCCCACCCAAGAGAGCCTCAGTGAATCTGCTCAGACCCCCGGACTCTGTGCATTCCTCATGTGGCCTGGCCCATGGCCAGCTCCCTCTCTGCACAAAGAATTCAGGAAGGGGCTGGGGCAGCTGCTAGGGCTCAGCTCCCTGAGCTGTTCCCACTTACCTCATCAAAAGGCTTGGTGATGCTGGTCTCCAGCTGCCAATCCAGTGTCCTCCACACCTTTAGGCTGCGGTCATCAGCTTGAGAGGCTATGTATTTACCAACAGGGTCCCACGTCAACCCTTTGACCAAGCCAGAATGACCTCTCAGAGTAGCTAGAATTTCTGTGAAGAAAAAAGGAATGTGGAGAGGCGTCATCTGGGGAAAACATAACCTGCAATCCACGAGCCATGGGATAGATATCCAAGACAGCAGACCCAGCAGTCTGCCCTGATCAGCCCCGCGCCAGGTAGAAGCAGAAATGCCTCCTCATTTGATCTCCACCAAGGCAAAAGTCAACTGAAGAAATGACTACATTAAGAAGGCAGGCACCAAAAGGCCAGTTCTAATCCAGGTCTTGTCTGTAGCTAGCAGCCCTGCCCGTGGCTGCCCTTCCTGAGCTGTGACACCAGCACTTCTGACATTAGCCTCCCTGGCAGCTCCCTGATAAGGAGGAGGCCTACTAGCTCAAAGGGGCAGACAGTGGCTGAGTCTTTTGTAAATCATGGCTGAAGACAAAGGTGTGTACGATGGCACCCCATACAGATCTGTAATCCAAATGCTACTCCAGACTCTAAAGTTGCCCTCTCCATGGCCAGACTGAGTATCTCCACACATGCTGGTGGTTTTCAAAGAGTTAAAATGACCCAGATCAATGAGGAAAGCATTCTTCAAATACAGAGCAGAAATATGAGAATTTTACTAGTTATAAACTGCAGCACTGTGCCAGGTTATGCCATTTGTTGTGACTTTAAACACAATAAATAAGAAAAATTGGGCTGGGCGCGGTGGCTCACGCCTGTAATCCCAGCACTTTGGGAGGCCGAGGCAGGTGGATCACGAGGTCAAGAGATCGAGACCATCCTGGTCAACATGGTGAAACCCCATCTCTACTAAAAATACAAAAAATCAGCTGGGCATGGTGGCACGTGCCTGTAATCCCAGCTACTCAGGAGGCTGAGGCAGGAGAATTGCCTGAACCCAGGAGGCGGAGGCTGCGGTGAGCCGAGATCGCGCCATTGCACTCCAGCCTGGGTAATGAGAGCGAAACTCCGTCTCAAAAAAAAAAAAAAAAAAAAATCAATCTTGTGCAAAACTGGGTTTTTGTTAGCCCACGTCCACTCAAGGATTTCATAGAGGAGATGGTGACTGAGCTGAGCCCAGGGCCCAGTGGTGGGGCTGCACACAGCATATGTAGGAGTCCCAGAGCCCCCAACAACAGCTGCCTACTCACTACCCTCATGATCTGTGGCATGCCATGCCAGCACTCAGTTACTATTTTTCTTAAGGATTAATCTCTTTTTAAAGCTTAAACAAATGTAACTGACAAAGAAAAATTGACAAGACACATAAATCCTAGGCCACTGTGATACATCCACTGCCACCAAGACTAAGGAGACAGTCCAACCCCTGCTCCAGACACCAACAGGCAGTACTGCTCACTATTAACCAGTCAGAGGAGGTCCCAGACCTGGGAACTTTACAGCATTCCAGATGACAACAGTGTTATCCACACTGCACGAGGCTAGCCAGGCATCATGGGGAGACCATGCTACATCCATCACATCTGAAAGAAGACAGAGGGTTCTGGTGAGATCTCTTACCTGGAAATGCTCTTGTCTATTAGCTGGGCCAGTGCCCCTGGGACCTGGGATCATCATAACCAGTCTGGTATTTTTCAACCAACCTGAAAAAACTCCCCCCAAAATTTTTCAATTGGGCATAAATTTAAAGCATCTGACCCCAGTGCCCCACTCCTTTTACAGATGAAGCAACTGAGGGCACAGTTCAGAGTCTGGGCACCATATGGCACCTCACCCATGCATGAGAGCCTACTAATTCATGGGTCTGTGGCCTGGAGTATGCTCCTCAGCCCTGCTGACTTGCTTTGCCAATCATAAGGGGGCCTTACTCTGAGAGCTTTTTGAGCATGAGACACAGTGGGTAAAGCACCTGGCAGAATGCCTGGCATAGTCAGAGCTCCAGGGCTGCTGACACCTAATGCAGGTCATCTTGAGGCCCTTGTCTGGTTCATGGACAGGGTCTCATCTCCCAGACCCTGACAGGAACACCTCTTTGCTACAGAGCCTCCAAACAGAATTAATCACATTCACTTCTTTGTGGCTCTGTTTTATCGTTTGTCAAGTGCAGATTAAAAAACAAAATCGGCCAGGCGCAGTGGCTCATGCCTGTAATCCCAGCACTTTGGGAGGCTGAGGCGGGCAGATCACGAGGTCAAGAGATCGAGACCATCCTGGCCAACATGGTGAAACCCCGTGTCTACTAAGAATACAAAAAAATTAGCTGGACGTGGTGGCACGCACCTGTAGTCCCAGTTACTGGGGAGGCTGAGGCAGAAGAATTGCTTGAACCCGGGAGGCGGAGGTTGCAGTGAGCCGAGGTTGCGCCACTGCACTCCAGCCTGGCACCTGGTGACGGAGTGAGACTCTGTCTCAAAAAAAAAAAAAAAATCTAGGCCAGGTGCAGTGGCTCACGCATGTAATCCCAGCATTTTAGGAGGCTGAAGTGGGCAGATCACTTGAGCCCAGAAGTACAATACCAGCCTAAGCAACATGGCAAAACCCCATCTCTACCAAAAAAAACAAAAAAATTGTCTGGGCATGGTAGCACATGCCTGTATCCCCAGCTACACCAGAGGTTGAGGTGGGAGGATCACTTGAGCCTAGGGAGGTCAAGGCTACAGTTAGTCATGATTGTGCTACTGCACTCCAGGCCGGGTGACAGAGTAAGACCCTGTCTCAAAGTACAAACAAACCAAACAAAAACCCCCAAAACCTATCCTCATAGGGTCACTGTAAGGATTATATGTGAGAAACTGCTGCAACACCATGCCAGGCACACACCAAGGCATCGATGAGGGTCTGCTGTGACAATGGTGCCAATCTTGCCTATCCTGCCATCAGGGGTGTAGGGCGCAGTCTTAGTTATTTCTCTAACCTCAGCGCCTGGTGCAGCGCTAGGTATAAAGAAGAATGATTGGTGAGTTGAAGAAACAAACATAGCAGCAAGGTAAGAGCTATCAAGTCCTTTCTTTGTACAAGAGGTTTTAGCAAAATATTCCAAATTTCTATTGTATTTTTTCTAGTTTTAAAAAATCTATAGTGACAGCTTAACAGGTTTTTTTTCACATTGTCTCACATGCTGTGGTTCACATATTGTATTCTAAATGCCTATGTGATCTTCACAGCTTCTTTCCTTTTTTGCCCTGCATTCTATGTGGTTGAGGCGTTCACTATTATTAACTGACCTAATTTAACACTGAAGTTTAGCTGGATTACAGATTTTTGGGCCCATTTGTGTGTGTGTCACTCTCTACACTCCAGATTATTTCTCTGAGACGCATACCCCAGAGTAGGAATCCTGGGCAGAATATTTGAGCATCCTCATAGGTCTGGAGTCTCATAAAACTGTGGACTGCTTTTCCAAGTTCTCTGTGGTTTTACATTTCTACATGAATACTGTTTGCTTTAAAACTCCCTTATTAGCAATAGGATGATGACTTTTCCCCCTTCTGACTTATTTATTAAGTACATCTCTATATTTTTTAATTTTTAATTAGATTATTATTGAAAGTAAAGATTTTTCATGTTTGTCTCTTACCTAATGTCTTTTTGGATTAATTGCTCACTTATTGTGACTGTTTACTAGAGAGTCTTTTGGGCAGTGGGTCTAACAACATAAATGCAGTACCCACAAAAATAAAGAAAACAACAACTTTCTCTAGGAACTGAGAGTCCTGGAGGGGCAGACATGCAAACACCAGGACAGCAGGGGAGTGCCCACATCCTAGAAGAGAGAAGATGTGGCCAGGTGGGAGCCCAGAAAGGAGACAGGATTTTCTTAGCAATCTCCAGACACAAATAATGCAGATATTAACTGCAAATTTCACCTCTTTACCTTTTTATACTGTAGGAGTTTTACAGAGTAAAGTCTATTATTCTCCTTTGTGGTTTTTTCTGTTGCCTTGTTAATCTTGAAAAATATTCTCTCTGCTAGAGGTCTGGTTCAATTCTATTTTTTTTCAATTCCATTTTTTCCTTTTGTAGTTATTTTAAATGTTTATCTCTTTACTATCTGGATTTATTTTGGTGTGTGCTGTATTCAGTGAGGATCAAAATTAATTTCTCCTCACTAACTGCTTAATAGTTACTACACCACATGTGAGGAAGAATACATTTTGTTAAGCGATGCCTCCTCTCACAACACACCAACTTCTTAGGTACACTGCCTCTTTCAGTGTTTACCCTCAAACCCATGATGCTTCTATTACTGGAACTTTGAATGTTTACATCTATAACATTCTTATCCTTCCAGATGTCCTTTAGAATCACTGCTGAGTAAATCCACATACATGACATAATTTTCTGCTAAACTCCCAGTTTGGAGTTTCTGTCTTCAGTCTATATAGCACCTCCTTTTTGTTGTGCATCTACACACACTGGAGACCCTCCCCTCACTTGAAGATTTACATTTCTGGCCATCATTCTCACCATTATTCTTGGTGATTCCAAGAGGATGATTCTTCTAACACCCGAGGCTCTTTGTTCGTTAAATTCCTCCTTTCCTTCTGAAGACCTTGGCTTCTACTACTTTCACCCTATGGTCATGTCCGGAGACCTTCCATGACAAATCACTGCAATCTGTCTCAATTCCAACCTTCCCACAGGCCAACCATCAGCCCCATGCTCCTAGCTCACCCTCAGCTCCAACAGCACTTTCACACCACCAGGAGCTCCGATCCACTGATGCCGCTGTCCTCCCACCACTTGCCACTCCCCAGTCCTGACCTCTCTCCTCCAACTGAAAGCCCACCACCACTCCCCCTTTTCTTCTCCTCCACCTTCCCAAGTGCCTGACAAAGCTCAGCTTGGTTCAATCCAGGTCTATCCTCCCCTAATGTTTTCTGAGTACCCTCCAATGACACCTTTGGCCCAACGACACCATATGAATATTGTACTTGCCTAGGCCCCCAGCAGCCTCCATACTGTCAAGCCTAGCAGTCCATCTTTGGTCCTCATTTTGCCTCTCAGCAGTATGCAACATGCTGCCTGTTCCCTTTTCTTTCAAACACTCTCTTTACTGTCTATTTTGCTGTTGTTGAGACAGGGTCTCATTGTGTTGCCCAGGCTGTTCTTGAGCTACCGGCCTTAAGTGATTCTCCTGCCTCAGCTTCCCAAAGTGCTGGGATTACAGGCGTGAGTCACCATGCCTGGCTTCTTTTCACTGTCTTAACTGGCCTCTCTTTCTAGCTTCTTTTGCTGGAAGGATGAGTCCAAGGCTCATCCTTGGACTCTACTCCTACCCAGAACCTCATATTTCCAAGACTCATATTTCCAAATGTCTACACAGTACCACTTACACTGGCAAACTTAACATATCCAAAACCAAACTCCGAACATTTCCCTTAACAAACATTTTTGTCCCACCTGCAGACTTCCTGCTTCAGGTTACAGCCACTGCATTCTTCCCACTGTTTGGACCACAGTCCAGGAAGCCATTCTGACTCCTCTGCTTATCTCACATCCCATAGTCAATGCATCAAGAAATCTGCCTCTTTTCACTTCTCACCACTTCTGTGTTATGACCCAGGTCCAAACCACCATCATCTCTCCCAACTTTGTTGGAGCGGTTCCTTTACTGGTCTCCCCAGTGCAGCCCTGAGCCCCCCTACCAATGGTAGACTCCATACTGCTGCCACAGGTCTCAACTCCTGCTGAGCCTTCCTGTTCTTGCTCAGAGAAGAGCCTTCATCACGGTCTTGCAGGCACACTCCCTCCCGCCCCCCTCCAGCTCCCAGATTCACTGGGCACACTGAACTCATGTCCATGTTCCAGATCCTTCGCACTGGCTGTCCCCTCACCACCGTCCAGTCTTCCCTCAAATGTCATCTCCTCACTGAGCCCCCAGCACTCACCTTCCAACTCCTCACAGAACTCTGCCCTCTGGGCTCATCTTCAGATCTCCTATACTACTCACTTATCAGTCTCTTTTATAAGAACAAGACTCTTTGAGAGAAGAACAGTGCCTGGAACATGTCAGGCAGTCAATAAATGTTTGCTATGTGGATGAGTAAATATTAATGTGGGAAAAAATGTATTTCATTTAGCCTTTCAATTTGTAAAGTCATTTTCTCTCTCAATGTCATTTTATATCTTAAGACATTTATGATTTAAATCTTAGGAATCTAATTCATTTCTTGGTGAGATTACTTATTTCTGGATATTGATAACTTTTGATCCCACTATGTATAATTCTCTTTTTATCATTAGATATTCTAACTGGCTATTACTACCAAAAGATAAATAATTTAAAATTATTCTGTTATGAGGCCAATATAAAGACTCCTTTTATTAGTTCTAAGTATTTTTCAGTGCTTTATTTGTTCTAAGAGCTTTATTATCCTATGGTTTTTCTTAATATGAAATAATGTCACCTTCACTTCATTTTTGCCTTGTTTTCCAGTTTCTATTTAACTGTGTTACAGAAATTCCAGAGCAACAAATTAAATGATAGCACACAACATTGTCTTTTCTTGATATAAACAGCAACCAGAATTAAATGTGAACTGTAATATTTGCCACTGGTTTGAAAAAGACTAAGAACTCTACCATGTTAAGGAAATAGCTTTAGGCCAGCTGTGGTGGCTTGCACCTGTAATCCCAGCCCTTTGGAAGGTGCAGATGGAAAGATCGCTTGAGCCTAAGAGTTCAAGACCAGCCTGGGCAACGTAGTGAAACCCCATCTTTACAAAAAATATAAAAAATCAGCCAGGTATTGTGATGCACACCTGTAATCCCAGCTACTCGGGAGGCTAAGGCAAGAGGATCGCCTGAGCCCAGGAGTTCAAGGCTGCAGTGAGCTGTGATTGCACCACTGCACTCTGCCTGGGTGACACAGTGAGACACAGTCTCAAAAAAAAAAAAAAAAAGGAAAAAGAAAAATATCTTTCTATGGGCATTTTTTAAAAAGCATTTTTATTAGGAACTGGTGTTGAATTGTCTAATTGTCGAATATTCGAAACACCTAAGATGACTGTGGCCTTTCCTATCTAACTTCCTAGTATGTAAAGTTATATTGATAGATTCCCTTGTACTACACTTTTATTACAAGTCATATTTAATCATAATGAATTACTGTTTTCAAATGTTGTATTTACTAGTATTGTTTCTGACTTTTCTATCTTTACTCGTATTATTCTATGCTTTGTTACATTGCTACTTTTCTTAGGTTTTCTTTTTTTTTTTGAGACAGAATCTCGCTCTGTCCCAGGCGCCTGGAGTGCAGTGGCGCAATCTCGGCTCACTGCAACCTCCACCTCCCAGGTTCAAGCAATTCTCCTGCCTCAGCCTCCCGAGTAGCTGGGACTACAGGCACGCGCCACCACGCCCAGCTAATTTTTGCATTTTTTAGTACAGATGGGGGTTTCACCATGTTGGCCAGGATAGTCTCGATCTCTTGACCTCGTGATCCACCCGCCTTGGCCTCCCAAAAGTGCTAGGATTACAGGCGTGAGCCACCACTCCCAGTCGGCTTTCTTAGGTATTTTCCAGATATAACCCTGGCTTATATCTTCCTTTCCAGAACAAATACTGGTATGTTCTGTATAATTTTTCTTAAAAGCTCAAAAAAATGCATCCACAAATAATTTAGGACCAAGAAGCATTTCTGAAGACAGCCTTCCATTTCTTCATTGGCTATTATTCTGTTCAGTTTTTCCTAACCCTACGGTATCAATTATGAAAGTTTATATTTTCTAGAAAATTATTTTTTAGTATTTTGTTTAATTTTTTAGCTCAATAGTACAAACATCATGTTGTATTGTTTGATTTTTTTCTGCCTGAGTTAAATATTTTTCAAGATCTTTAACTTCTAATTTTGTCTAGGTTTTTTTCTTCCCAACCCTCAAGTAAATATACCAATTATACATTTCTCACACTTTGCTTTTCAAAGAGCCAGTTCTTTCTTATTCATTTACTTCTGCTTTTCATTGATTTTCCTTCTTGTATGGGTCTGCCCACACCTGCTACTAGGACCAGTGAGTAAGGTGGTCAACCCTACCTGCTGATCAAGGAGCCCCACTGGGGGGTGGGGCAGGAGAGAGAAGGCAAGGCTCTGGCTGGGCCTGAGACTCAGGTTAGAGCCTTGTAAAAGTCCTCACTTGAGGCCCACCCCATGCTTGGGCACCCTTACAGACATGTGCACCAAGTTCCAGAGAAGCCCAATTAGACTTCACTGTTAGTATTGTGACACAAATAAGGGCAAATTACACAATTGTATTACCAAGCAATAACACAACGGTATCATATCAGCTTCCACAAATGTGGACTCAATCAGTGACCACCAAGATGGGTTTGTTCTCCTTTAAATCATCTATGGAGAATCTGCTAAGCATACACTGCCAATGGATTACAGCTGATGCCAACTCCCGTACCTCTCACTCCTGCCCTGTCTTCTCCCAGAGTTCCAGGCTCAGTTCCAAGGTTTCTTGACATTTCCACCCCTACCCCTCAAGCCAGGGGCACCCCTTTCTGAACTGGTAGACGTCCCCATAAGCCTGCTGTGCTTAGGGTCTCAGCAGAGGATACCTCTGACTATCTAGGCACCCAGCCAGGAATCTATCTCTTACCTCCCTGTGTCCTATCCTAAGTATTCCCAAATCGATCTCCTCTTCTCTACCTCAATTATCACAGGCCTAACTCGGGCCCTGACAGTGTCCAACTGAACCACTGGAAGAACCTCCACTTCACTGAGCTGTCACAATGACCTCTCTGTTGTGCTTCAAAGCTTTTAATGGGTGCCTATCTCTTCCATGATAAGGTACACCCTCAGTAACAAGGAACACAACCTTTCCATGATCCAACCCTGGCACAGCTGACCAGCCTCACCTTATGCTGCTCCTTGCCTATCTATAAAGATCCAGCCATAGTAAAATGCCTCCAAATCCCCATTCACAACAAGACTTTCTCACTTATGTGGTACCTCCTGCCTGGAAAATCCTTTGGTCCATTCCTGGACTGGATCACAGTCTCCTGAGTCAAGTCTAAATTGCACTCAACCTGATATACTTGACACCTGAGTGTGTAATGCATGGGCAACCTTCCCCCTCTAAGTTTATAAAATGTGCTTCTTTCCATACCACGTTTACTTAAAACACATTGCAAACATACTCAAGGTCAAGTTGAGAAACTTTTCAATGGGCATCTGTGAGGTGATTCCTGGGGAATAAACAAAGCGTGCTTACAGACTTAATGATCCACTGATGAAGGTATTGATTCTGTTCAGCAGGACAAACAGCAGAACGTGGGAAGTTCTACATTAAAGATATAAACATATACCCCATGAGGGCACGAGTGGGGAGACTGAATGCAGCTGGAGACAGGTAATGGAGTCAGTGACTGCCCAGATCTTAAGGAACAGGCAGAGTGTGAATTATTGTGATGGGGAGGGACAGCCCAGACACTGGACTGCTTTAAGGACCTAACAGTCCCCCAGGGGATGTGTCGGTGCTGCTGATCTGACCCAGGTATCAGGGGCCCACCCACCCCAACAGGCAGACCAACTCACCACCTGAATGATTCCGGAGGATGGAGACACACCGCCACTGCTCCACATTGGCAAGCTTACCACTAGAGCCAAACACGGTGCTGGGGCCGATGTACCTGTGCGAAAAAGGGGCCAAAAAGGCACTCATGGAGTGCTCTGGGCACTGCACAGAAATGTTCCCTGCAGCCAGCTTATCAGGGCAGACAGAACAAAACAAAAACTGGAAAGCAATGAGTTGTTGAAAAAAAGGGGCTGATTAGGTAAATTATGATCCATGCACTTGATGAAATACTACATAGCCATTACAAATCTTGCATGGGAAAATGTTCACAATAAGTGAAAGAAGCAGGCCACAGGACATCACATACAATATTATACCACTTATGTAAAGGAAAAAACCATATGACATGGATAGCATCTGCGCGTGGAAAATGAATCAGAAGGACACACATCCCAAAATGACAAAATATTAACTGTAGCTTTTTTTTTTTTTTTTTTTTTTGAGACAGTCTCACTCTGTCGCCCAGGCTGGAGTGTAGTGGCACGATCTCGGCTCACTGCAACCTCCACCTCCCAGGTTCAGGCAATTCTCCTGTCTCATCCTCCTGAGTAGCTGGGATTACAGGCATGCATCACCAGGCCCAGCTAATTTTTTTGTACTTTTTTTTTAGTAGAGATGGGGTTTCACTACATTGGTCAGGCTGGTCTTGAACTCCTGACCTTGTGATCCGCCCACCTCAGGCTCCCAAAGTGCTGAGATTACAGGCGTGGGCCACCACACCAGGACAACTGTAGCTTTCTTTAGGTGGTATGATAATGAGGGATATTTTTTCTTTTGTATTTTTAGTTTTCTAAATTGTATACTAAATGTTATTTATGTTGGTTATTTAAAGAAACAAAATCAACAGTATTTTATTTTTAAGCATCTCGCAATGTATTAAATGGCTTTGACATCTGAGGCAGAGAAACCACATGATCTACAGCCCCCATTAAAGGAGTCAGAGGAACATCAGTCACCTGGAGCGTGGTGGAGGCAATGCTGACACACCGATGCTCACAGCGTCTGTTAACGCCCTTTGCCTTTGCAGAGTTCTTCACAAATCCACAGAAAGAGTATGTGCTGAGACAGCCAAGTAGGCTGAAGAGACAGTCTATGCCTCTGCTCTGGAAGCCACAGCCCCAGGGCCATTCTTGGTGAGCAATGGTCCAGGGTCTAGTGCCCCAGCCTAACTGGCCCAGAGACCTGGGAGCAATAGCTTTCCAGGTGATGGTTAGCTCATTTTAAGAGGAGAGCAGGGGCTGCCCCAGGTGGAGGCCGAGAGAGAATAAAGTAATGGCAAAAAGGTTAGACTCTGGATTCCCTGCCTCAGATCCCACCAGAGCACCCTAACTTTTAATCATTTTGTATATTGGGCTTCCATGTGAAATTTCATTTGAAAAAACAAAACTAATGAAGCCACCCACATCAGCGCTAGAAGAGATTAGCCTTTCCTTTTTAGGTGGGAGACTGGATTTCTGTGAGGGGGCACACCAGGCAGGTCCATGGTCTCCTGAATCCCTGGTCAGGCTCCACCTGCTCCTGACCTACATGCACTTCTTGCTATTCATGAGGTTAGGGCTATGGGAACTTCAGTGACAGAGTGGGGAAAGGCGACTTTAATAAAGACCAGCAAAGAAGCTTCTAAAAATAAAATGTGAAGAAAGGAAAATGATGCTTACGTAGCCCGCTTCCACACCATAATCAGTTTGTCATCTCCCCCAGAAGCTAAATACATCCCACTGTTTGACCACCGCACACAGTTCACACATGCTGGGAAGAAAAAAAAATAGGGTGATGAAAATCCAATAGTCATGCCCATTTGCTTTATGTAGAGTTTGGCAAGATGTAAAGGGTTTATAAAAATCTAATCTATCTAATCTATTTAAGGCATCTACTGTGTGAGAGCCCCAGAAAAACAATTCAGTTTAAGCACTAACCTACTTGTGCTATAAAAACAAATTACCAGAACAGTCTGGAGGGGGAAAATACACATTATCTGAAAATCGTTAGTGCTGAATGACATAGTCAATAGAAGGCTTGTTTCCAGGAAAATAAAAAATGATAACCAAATCTCATTATTTCAAAAGGGCCATCTATTGATGAGACATATTTCTGAGTAGAGATTATTCTCAAAAACAGAGTTTGTGCTAAAAAGGGTCAGATGCTTTTTTCTAGAATTTTCAGGTGAGCAGTCTGTTAGAGTATAAAACTCTGACTTCATCTCATCTGTCAAGAGCCAGCCCTTTCACATTCGGGTTTTCCAAACTTGCCAGCACTGCAGATTGATTGACTCTGTGCTTACAAGCTAAGATCAGCAGAAATTCCCCCAGGCCCCTAATGGGCCAGAGCCTCTAAGAGCACTCACAGCTTGGCCTTTGGGATACTTGAAAGATGGCTATCAAAGTTGTAGCCACTACATGGCTTGTGAGTAACTTATGCTCCAGGTCTGAAGACACTGAGAAACATGTTGAGAGGACAAGAACACACAGAGCAAAGGAAGGAGCTGATGTCCAAAGGACAGGGAATGTTCACTGAGCATCTCAGGGGTGGGAAACTAAGGCACTATAGCAGGAAAGGAAACCATGACACTGTCTGATGGCCAAAAGGGTCCTGGCAGAGAGCCTCAGAGTGAAAAAGTGCCAACCTGAGATGTTTTGGCAAGTTGTCTCTTATACACCCTTCCCCAGAACCCTACTGTGTTCAGGTCGCTGGCCCCAAAGCCCCATGGAATCAGGCAGTAACGACTCATGAGCAGGAAATCACCAGAGGTACCTGCAGACTGTCCAAAGATGGTTCTGTGGGCGGGCCGAGTCTTCTGCCGAATAACTCACCCAGGTGTGCAGCCAACATCTGTGCCTTCAGACAGCAGGCCGAGGGGAGTTACCGCCGCACGGGGCCTTATCTTTCTAATTACAAACACATGTGCTAACCTTGGGCACTCTGCCAACAAGCAAAGCCTGCAAAGGGCCACTCTGTAATACCTAAGTGATTGTCCATCTGGCAAAGCATCTTGGGAATATTTTCATCCTTCTCATCATCCTCCTGGAGGACTGGAGACATATTCCAGATCACAACCTTCCCAGAATCCTGCCCTGGAATGAAGGAGCAGAAATGGCTGAATGTGCAAGGAGTAGAAATTTGATATTAATATTTAATGTCAAATTAAATATTATAGGATAAGTCCTCACTTAGCTTCCATAAATCATAATTAACTAGATCTATGAAGACTGAATTTAAATTACTAATTTAAGTTACAGAAAAGTGATAAGTACTCATGGGGACCAAACAAAGTGGACTTAGCAGTCAGCAGAAGTCAACCTGACTTTATGAAAAGAACTCTGAACTAGCATGAGGAGGGAACTGAGCTCTGGTCTGGCCTCTGACAAGGATCCACCAGGGGTCCCTAGGTCTTCATTCCTTCCTAGCACCTAGACTCTGACTCCTTGACTCCTCATCTGTTAAATTAGAAGAAGGGAAAGTCAGTGTCGCAGGACCTTTTCCAATCTGTGTATACTCTAAAAAGCAAATAGAAAAGCACACCCTAGTGGGGCTTCCCTCCCCTTCCAGGTGCTGCCTGGAATCCAGGCTGTTCCAGAGCTGACTGTTTTGAGACCTAAATGTACCCTGAACACAGGAAAAAGGGCTCATTATCTTGTTATCTACCCTTTGCAGTTACCTACAGACAAGAGACCAACCAAAAGAGGGTAGGGCTCCTGTGGTCATGAGTTGATATATCGCTCAGCTGAAAAATATATCCATGACTTTTAGTAATGATTTCTTTTTTTTGAGATGGAGTCTCGCTCTGTCTCTAAGGCTGGAGTGTAGTGGCACAATCTCGGCTCACTGCAACCTCCGCCTCCCAGGCTTAAGTGATTTTCCTCAGCCTCCCGAGTAGCTGGGATTACAGACGCATACCACAACACCCAGCTAATTTCTGTATTTTTAGTAGAGGTGGGGTTTTGCCATGTTGGCTAGGCTGATCTCAAACTCCTGACCTCAGGTATCCGCCTGTCTCAGCCTCCCAAAGTGTTGCGATTACAGGCGTGAGCCACTGCGCCTAGCCTTAGTAAGGATTTCCAAGCTTTCCATCACTGATATCTAACAAAGTTTAGCCCCTCAGTTAATTTTCTATTATAATGGGGCCAAATCCAATGAACATGCCAAAATTACCATGAAGCATGTTTGAAACTGCCTCTTGGCCAATATATAAAAATATTTCCTAAACCAAGGTGGTAAAATGTGTGTCTTCTGGGAACAGGCATAAACCCTCTGATTCCTCCAGCTAAGTCCATGTTTTCTGTCTCATGTGCTGCACCTCCTCCTCTCCAGTACAGTCCACAGCATGCAAGAAGGAGAGAAAGGCTTCCCTGTCCACAGCTTCCCTGCACTCCCTTCCAGCTCCTTGACTCTGGGTAGAAGCATCTGCTGGAAACTCACCCTGCAGCACCTGGCCTGAGGACCTAGAGCTCACAAAGGCACTCTCTAAGCGTTGCCTGAGGAGGCCTGGTTGGAGGGAGGCCCTGCTCTGGGGTAAAGATGCCAGGGGGCTGGGCTCTGTGGAATGCTACATTGAGTTACTATATGTACATCTTGGTGTCCGGGCATGAAGAACAGCTCTTATCTTTCCAAATAGAACCATGCAACGTTGCAAAAGATGCTGGCTGAAGCACAAGGGCAATACTAGGAATAACATTTTCGAATGGTATAGGCTTTCTTACTTGTCCACGGTATACTTTCCCTTTAATCCAGCTGAATTCCTTTGACCAGAAAATGGGCCTAATAATTATATGATTGCTTTAGAAGCTTAAACCATCCCCCACCCCCGCCCCCTCTTACCTTTTTTCAGAAGAGAAAAATGCTGACAAAGCCCTTGCCTCTGGGGCTGGGCTCTGCCCACTGGACCACCACCCACTCTCCATGCTCAATACGCTTGGAGATACAAACTGATTTTAGTATTAACTCAATAAACAGAAATTACAATGATAAACCTGCTGCCAAAATACTTACAGAGAACACACTAAAGCCACAAAAGGATTTTCAGTATGGATGTGATGCTATTTAAAATGTACGTAACTGTACATTTTAAATAGCATCACATCCATACTGAAAAAATAGCAAGTATTCCCTCTACAGCTAAATGGAGAGCAGAAGAGCAAGGTGTCAGGGCTGTTAAGCTTTCCCTTTCTTTATTCCATAAACATACCTTGTCCTCCAGTTGCAAACTTGGTCCCGTCAGGGTGAATATCAACTGAAAAAATCGGCTTGCCTGGAAACAAAAAAAAACATACAATATCTAAATTAGCTTTTATTCACTGAAGTGTATCAAAGTCAAAATTTTAAAATATTGGTTATCTAAGTAATATCTCTAATTTCTGCACATAGGACAAAATAAGAGACTATACATAAATTACCTGTGAGTAAGGGTTGAGTGCTCTAAAGGATTCAGTTAAAGTCTCAACTGCTAGAAGATTCTCCAAACATTAGACAGCCGAAAGTCCAATAGTGGGAGAAAGCATTCCATCACTGAGAATGGCTGAGCCCACAGGATGCCTGGGCATTTGTGTGCCATCTTGCAGGGATTTGTGTTTGTAAAGGCTATGAGCTGCTCATAATTAAAGTTCTGAGTCACAGATACTTAATGAAAAGAGAACACAGCTATAACTCCAGACATCTCCCTATTGTACAGATCTGTACTTGACTGGCAGCCTGGACAGAAGGAGCACTATTTGTCTTTTCCAACTGGCTGGCTGACAGCTGTGCAAGGCCACAGCTGGCTGCAACCAAGGAGCACTGCTTGACTTGTCATACTTCTGCTTCCAGACAGCCCTCTTTTATGTTTGTGGTGTGAAGTTCACATAAAGCCTGCCATCTCAGCATCTCCTGTGGCTGAACCTCCTTCACAGCTTGTACTCTATGTTAAATTAGCTGTTCAATTACTCCAGGAGAAAGGACTGTGGCTATTAATTCTGAGAAGCCCCAAAGGGCCCAGTATGGGCCTAGGCTTGCACTAGGAGCTCCTGAACTAGCTGGCTGGCTGGGTGGGTGGATCAGACTGGCAAAAGCACTGTAGGAGCTTGAAACCCAGTAGACCACAGAAGGGACTCATGCCTGATGGGCATTTGTCCAGCTCCCTTCTTCTAGGCCAAAGGTACAGGAGCTAAAAGTGGCATGTCAGTTACTGTTAAGTTCATCACCACACCTTCAGCCTCTAGCACAGTGCCTAGTGCATGATAGCACAGTAATATTTGTTCAGTGACAAAGGAGACGGATGACAATAAACTGAGCATCAATAATTGCTGATATAGACAATGGGCTTGTTGCCAAGAGTCTCTTAATTGAACATGTTCTGTCTCTGTCACCCAAGAGGAGGCAATGTGGACAGAGAACCAGAGTCACCAGCTCTAGAATCAATCAGCAAGCACTGGGGTCAGGGGTGTGTGGGCAGGCAGCGGCTGCCTGAGAATTGTGAAGTCCTGCTAGGGCTCCCATGCAAGTGTTGAAAATCAAATGCTGGTGCCCAAAAGGCAATGCCCAGCATGGGACCCAGGCAGCACCCAGCTGTGGAGAGCCACAATCATGCAGTCAAATCAAACATGAACTTGAGAGAAAATACACTTTCCTTCTTACTAGTCATTATGTAGTATAGGTTGAGTATCCCTTATCTGAAACATCTGGGATCCATTTTAACCAAAGGGAAATGACAAAAGCAATGTTGCTCCAGTTCTAGGCGTAAGCCTAAAGAGTCTAGCAGTTCAACTTTTGCTCTCTGGAAAAATCTAGTTGCCATGTGAGAAGCCCAAATACCCTGAAACCACCATGTTTTGAAGAGGCCCCAGCTGGCTATACATAGAGCATCGAAAAGCCCAGAAAAGTGAGAATCAAGGCCCCAGACACAGGCCTGGTGAGGTGTTCTATCCCCAAGCTATTTGAGCCATCCCAGCAGATTCCATAGAGCCGAGATGAGCTAGACCTGCTACGTCCTGACAAGCTGCAGAATTACGAGCAAATAAAGTTGTTATTGTTTTAAGTCAGCAAATTTAGGGGTTTGTCATATAAGAGATGACCCAAAATGACAATTCATTTGCTTTTCTGCTTAAGCCAACTTAAGCTGGGCATTTGTTATTTTGACAAAAAATGTTCTAGATGACAGCCTCAGTCTTGACAGGCAATCAGGGTGGAACATTCCCCTCCCCTTGGAGTACTTTTCAGTTCCATGTGTCTGTGAGATGTTGCATGATAACAGTCCCTTCAAGAAGCACATTGGAAACCCTTACCTGCAAGTCACAGGTCCCCCAGCTACCCAAGAGTACACACAGGGTGAGCAAGGCCATCCTGAGAGCTCAGCTGCACAAGTATCAATTAGAGCCCATGCGCTTTAGATCATGCCCACTCATAGCACTGACTGCATGTTGTCTCCCTTAGTCTTTGCGGATTTCTACTATGGGCCAGGCATTAGGCTAAGCAATGGGAAAGTGAAGATACATAATCATACACACTCCCCTATTAAGATGTTCACTGAGGGACACTTCACAAGTAGAAAGCCACCAGACTCGGCCTGGGGCTTCCTGCAGAAATAATAACTGAACTGGGTCTCAAAGGTTGAGTAGGAGTTAGCCAGAAGATTGGGTGAGGGAGAGGAATTTCATGCTGAGGGGATGCACAGCACGGAATCAAGAAATAGGCTGATGTGCTGCTGCAGAGCAGAGTGCAGGTATAGAGTGTGAGACAAAAGAGGAGACAAAGATGGCCAGGGCTCAGCAAACATCAGTAAGGAGCTCAGACATTGCTCTAAAGGTACTTCTGAGGCAGCGTAATACCAAGGTCACATTCGCATTCTGGCTCCACAATAGCAGTGTGGAAAATGGGGGTGGGGGCCTCACAGCTCCAGGGGAAGGCAGGGATGGAAGCTGCCAACAGGTTAGGGTTTTGGCATTAAACATCCTGGGCTGAATCTTCAGCCCTGCCACTTACCAGTTACAAAGCATTAAGGAAATTATTTAATCTCCTCTAACACTTGTTTCTTAATCTGCAAAAATGTGGAGGACACATTCACCACCACAAACACCTTGTGAGACATATTAAGATGCTGTGTCACATTACTTCTAAGATGCATCCATTTCACATGATCAGGACATACCTTGGTGGAAGGTGTGCCTGGTTCACTGGCACCATGTTTCCTTTCTTAGTGCTGTGCAGGAGATTAGATGAAATATGATAGGGGACTTACACAGACACCAGTGCAGTGCTGGCTCCCCACTTACTCACAGCACTAGGCCTTTCAGTCCCAAGAAAAGCAGTCACTCACATTCCATCAGCAGGAATAAACCTCTTCTAAAGGGCTCTCTGAGGTGGAGCTCAGGAAAGGGACCTTCTGGCTGAGCTAGTTAGAGAACTCTTTCTGTGGCACAGCATGATGATGACAAAGATGAATTCCCAACTACCTCCAGTGTCTGGCCTTTCTTCATAACAGAGACAGAGAGAAAAGACAAATTAACACACCCTAGACTCCAGAGACACCAAGAAATCACCTATCCTTAGATCAGCCCCAGATCAGAATGTTGTCCCTGCAGAGCCAATACAGAGCCAATATAGTCACCCACTGTCTACTATCCAGAGGTTTGCTGATTTGACAACAGCAACACAAATGCTTTCCATCTGGAAGGGAATAAAGAATACATTAAGGAAGCTGGGATTATGACAGGGCATGCTTAGGTAGAATCATACCCATCTTCACACCAGGGGAAGATTCCTAGAGGAGGCCTAAACAGGGGAACTTAAACTCTGAGCAGACAGAAGTGGCCAGAGGCAAAGCAGAGAGGGCACAATGCAGAACAGCTTGCCCTTCTCTCTCAGCAGTCCCACAGACCTTTGGTTTTGCTCCAAAAAGTCTCCAATCAGGTAGAGCTGATTGGAACACATGTGCATATGTCCTTTTGGAATGAAGCTTGGGAAAGTTGAGTCCTTTGTCCAGTGAATGTTGCTCCTGGGAACACTTTTCCCACACTGCCCAACAGAACTTGGTTTTAACCAATATTGACAAATTTAGAATTAAAAACAAGAAAATGTTTGGAACATTTATTATATGAAGCAGTTACAAAACAATATTAAGACATAAGGTGGGGGCTGGCACAGTGGCTCACATCCATAATCCCAGCAATTTGGGAGGCTGAGGCAGGTGGATCACTTGAGGTCAGGAGTTCGAGACCAGCCTGGCCAACATGGCACACCATTGCATTCCAGCCTGAGCGAAAGAGTGAGACTCTGTCTC